TTAGGCTATCGCTACTAGGGTGGAGGCCATCGCTTCTAGGGTGGAGGTCATCACTCTTAGTTTTCATCGATTCAGGAGGTGCTCGATGCATGAAGTAAGATCCTGCGTTCGTCAAGCTGCGTGAAGATCCTGCATAACGCTGGTGATGAACACCATGGACCAGTACCGCTACAATCCGCTGCACCTTCCGCGGCGATTCAAGTTCCAAGGGGATGCAGCAGTTGGTCCAATCGACAGAAACAAAGACAATACTCAGGACTCACGGTCTGCCCTGGGGGGCCTTGGGTGGGGTGCTCAACTGAGGGACGGCTTTTTAGGCTTGGGCGATGGGCTTGGGCGATCGGATGACCAAGTTTTTATAGATTCTTATAGGGACGCTTGTTCAATCCACGCGTTTATTTTCAACAATGATGAAATTCCTAGCAATTTCATGCCAAGTGCAAACCCTAAACCCTAACATCCCTAGTTGATTGGCGTGGAGCGAACCATGCATCCAAATGCTCATACTGTGGTAGTGAGAATGGTCACCCGTCTTGCATGAGAATGCGGGGTAGTTTCACTTGTGGCAGGATGCCGCAGTGCTGCAAGCCACATGGAATCCTCCAACTCCTCCATGTCCCCATCTTTCTTCGACAGACAAAGTAAAACCAGGGACGCCGGCCTCAACTGCAGGTCATTCTTCTTCGCTTGTTTGAGGTGCAAAGCATAGTATCCTGATCTGTGGAGATGAGAAAGTGAAAAGTATTTCTTCCTTGAAGACACAGGGCTGTGGACCATGGATTGCAACTTTTGGAGGGTAGTAAGGACCTTACACTGTTTGGGTTCTAGCAGATAGGAAGATAGGTTGGGTTGGAAACCAGGTCAGTAGGTGGGTCGGTAGACAGGTCTCAAAGTATGTTGGACCTACAAACAATCGGATCACAACCGAGTAGGCATCATGCTGCTCTCGTGAGGCGAGTTGGGCCGCAGTGGAGGTTTGGCTGCTCTGAGATCCGACAGGCTCGCTTTTTCATTCAGAGTCCCCGCACGCCAAGCATCATCGACCTCCAACTCCACCTGGGGGCGGGGGTGAAAAGACCCAGTTGGGATCCCCATCATGGCTCGTTGCATGCTCTTTGATGGGAAGGTGCACAACAGTTTCAACACAATTGACTATACTTGATTCATCCTGTCGACCGATATCAAAGGTTGCACAGATTAAGCTGTCAAAGACTGAAGAAGAACCCTGAACCGTGAAAGACTGGACATGAACTAAAGCTAGCTGTTTTGACTGTGCTTCCTTCCTGGTAACAGTTATCGTCGGAACTAAGTTTCCGAATCAGAACTGACTAATTGCAACATGTTCGGAATGCTCTGACAAGCCCAGGGTCTGTCTTTATAGGGTTCCCTCCAAATAGTACCGAAGAGCTTCATCAGCATTGACTTCCACGCCCCAAACCCATTGAGGCACTTGAAGGCGACGCAGGTGAGCTATCGCCAACATCTCAGAAGCTCATATTTACATGGTGTTTTTAAGGATCAAAGGTCCTGTGCACAAATCCCAAACTGAAAATACCTGGTGGTGCATGCTTCGAATGATTCAACGCAACCATTCTCATATCCTGTGGTTTCCTATAATACACATCTCTTTTTGGGTCTCGTTCCGACCGAACTCGGTCCATATCTGTTCATTCTGTCCGGTTCATCCGGATCATCTTCCTCATCCCCAGAATCTGGCGGCGTAGGACGTTGTACGGACCGGCCCCTGACTCTTCGCCGTTCTGACCGACGCGCCGTGTCGTACCTTCACCGCATCCGGGGAGCGTTGCACCCGTCCGCGAAGGCTTTCGAGTTCCTCCTGGCCAGGGGCACGGGCTGCCAGCGCTATGACCAGCACGCCGACCACGTGCTCTGCTCAAGCTGCTTCGGTGTTTCTCCGGGAAGGCTTCGGGGCTCGATGGGTTTCCACAAAGCCACGGAGAAACCTCAGAACCTGAGAGAAACCACGGAGAGGCCGGTTTCGATAGAAACACCCTGTTGAGATCCATCGATTAAACATCTCTACGAGGCACCCGATCTTTTAGAAATCACACCCGCGCGGGGGCAAGGGGGCATGGAGTGATGGAAAAGTGCACGTGACTTTTGGGCTGCAACACGAACACAGCAATATAAATCACGAGAAGACCAGTGTTTCACGACGTATATAGTGTATTCAATTGTATAATCCGCCGACCCCACACCGTGGGGTGAGGCGTGACTGTCGATGTTAGCCTGAGCCTTAAGCCTTAGCCTTAGCCTTATCCTTAAGCCTTAGCCTTAGCCTTAGACTTAAGCCTTAGCCTTAGCCTTAGACCTAGTCCTTAGCCTTAGACCTAGACCTTACCTCCCCTACCCCTCCGGACCCTTGTTGCAGTGACGAAATCCCGACCCAAAAGCGACGTGATTGCAACCTAATGGTGACCTGGATTGTCCAAGATTCTGCCATCCAGATTGATTTACATCTTGGGGCACCCTCTCCACCCGCGCGGGAAAAGAAGCACGGTCCAAAATGGTCCCGGGCTCGAATCCCGGGCTGGTCGCGGCGCGGTCCCGGCCAATGCCCTTGCTTTTTCGTAGATTTTGTGACGTTTTCTGTTGGATTTATGGGATTTTCAAAGGCTTCTCCAGCATTTTCCTAGGAATGCTCTAGGCTTTGTCTAGATTTTGTTACGTTTTCGGCTGGATGCTTTTCCAAGAATTTTCTAGCGCTTCCTCTTGTTTTTAGGTTCCCAGATTTCCCCCCAAAATTGGTAACCTTTTGCTAACCTATGGAACTTTGCTTTTCCAATATTTTCCTAGGAATGCTCTAGGCTTTGTCTAGATGTTGTTACTCCCCCCCCGGCCTACCGCACTGCAGACATTCCGCCACGCGCGCGTGCCGCCCGCGTGTACATGGCTACGGTCTCTTCCCTGGCTGGCGCGAGAAGCTCGCCATCACCTCCCCGAGCTTCCGTTTGCGCTGCTCCGTCCTAGAACCAACACGCCACATGGCGCGGACACGGGCGCCTGACAGGCATGCGAAAATCTTACCAGAGCCTTTCACGTTGCCACGGGCACTGGCTGGACCTCGTCCAGCGCAAAATCTAGACAAAGCCTAGCGCATTCCTGGGAAAATTCCAGGGCATTGGCCGGGATTAAAAATAAGTTCATCAATTTTTGAGCAAATCAGGGAACCTACATGCAAGAGGACATGCTAGATAATTCTACAACCATGGAAAAAAATTGGGGAACTCCTACCCGGGGGCGGTCTAAGGCTAAGGCTAAGTCTAACGCTAAGGCTAGGCTAAGGTTAAGGCTAACATCGACAGTCACGCCTCACCCCACCTCTCTGCCTGGAGCAAGGCTAGCGCTATTCTATCCCTTGGGGGTCGGCGGCTGCAGGCGGTAGCCTGGTAAATACATGTTTTGTTTTTGTGGGATGTTGTCCGGTATGATGCGTCAAGGCGTCAAGTCTTTGCCCTCCTTCAGCTCAAGGCTACTCTTTCAGAACTGCTTACTTCGCCCAAGGCTGATTGCAGCCTGTCTCCTTTGGATTTCTTGTACGCTGCGCCTCCGGAGCTGATCCAACCTGGATCCTCCCCAGCGGTTTCAACTGATCCGGTCCTGCACAGAAGAATAATGCTTCATCACCTCAAAGTTCCGAGACATTCGTCGGTGGCCACGGTCGGGTGTCCATTCGTCGGTGGCCCGTCGGTGTCCCTTCGAACCGGCTGCTCCAAGTCTGAAAAGCACCTACATGGGGTGTGCCTCACGTTGCTTTGACCTCAAACCTGTCATGATCTTTCCAGGATTCCATCCTTCTTGGCAAGAAGTTCTTAGCGATCAGGCCTATCCTATCATCCAACTCTAGATCTGATCCACCACCCCGGGCTGCCTATCTTCCCTCCCCACTGAGCTGCAGCACTGCTTGTGATCGCAGATCGTTGGCCCACCCGGCGGTCAGACGGTTCCTTGCGATTGCGTCGCATGCTGGGAGACCTTGAAGTGGAAGCTTGGCCAAGCTTCTCAGAATGGGTTGGGAGACCTTGAAAGTTATAGTGCAATACTTTGGGTACGCCGGGAGACCTTGAAAACTTCCCAACAAAGGGGCTGTCCTCATCTTCTTTGGTGCGGAATGGGTGAAATGTTCTCCTTGTGGAAGGGTATACTCTCCTTAAAACATGGACTGGAACCAGTCAAACCTGTGCCGTCCTTTACATGGCAGAACATTTGGAGATGTTTGATCCACCGTGGGACGGCCCCTCCCACCAAGTAGATTGACTGATGGATCTGCGCCCAGCTGCGGCGTGCATGGAGGCAGCTTGTCGATCGACATCAGCTCCTGGGGCGATGGTAAAACTAGGTAACTAGGACAACAAATGAAGAGGGAAATGGAGTCAAAACCACCGGTATTCGGAAAATTTGTCATCCAAGAAGCCATGTTCATCCATTATCCACTTCATTCCACTTCCATTCATTTTTATTTTAAGCAAGTGAACTGTCGAGGATTTCATAGGTATCCGAAATCGGGGCCATGCAATTCCCGCTTCATTCCACTTAACCATGATGATGTCATGTTCTAGGGGCTCCTGGCCTTACTACTAACTAGGAGCAAAGACGCTACTA